AACATGTGATTCAGCTTTTCAAATTTGGTATTATTTCATAATATATAATATAAAAGGAAATATTTTGAAACCAAAACCCATTTTGAAGGAAGAAATTGAAACATGTAGCTTGGAAATGTCAAAATGAGATGTTCCCACACTGTTGGAACATCCCTCCACCACTTACTCTTTTTTAAAATGACATTTTCAGTGAAACCGACACAAGTTTGCAAAGCGTTTCGATTTTGACAGGGTTGCATTTTCCAGTGGAAAGCTGTTCCTTAAGAGGTTTTCCAACCAGCTCCACTAGGAACAGGTGTCAAAGGATTGCAGCAACCTTCCCTTTGCCAGATCCCTAAATTAAAAGCAGTATCCTGGAGAAGCGTCTGGGGTGGGCAAGGCAGGAGGGGTCAAAGGATGCTCTGCCATGAAGCAGGTTGAGAACCTGGTGCTTGAATCGCCTCTGGCCACCCAGGCGTCTTCTCTCCTGTGGAACTGCTGTGCTTGTGGGCTGAACTGGCAGTAGCAACTGTGGGGGATTTTAGGGGGAAAAAAATAAAGCCTCTGTGTGTGGGCATGGCTACATGCTCAACACTGCAATTTCCCTCTTTACCATCTGAGTAAGAAAGAAGGATTACCCCAAGATTGGAGTAACGCCCAGTTCAGGCTGGGGATCTTCAGCAAGCCATGGATGTGGAGGTGGGATGTGCAGTAACACGTGCCCTTAAATTCTCTCTGTGAGCTGATTTTAATCTGGTGATGTCCACTGGGTGTGACTTGCCTTTGCCATAGGGATGTGTCCCTCCACGTGGAAGAGAAGTTTAACCTGGTAGGTTCACCCTCAAAGAAAAAGAACCCCACTCTCTCAAATAATTAAGTAGTCTTAGCCCTCTGAGAAGCCAGTACTTTCTGAAACACATAGCCAAAGAGAAATGCGCTCAGATTTACTGCAGTGTTAAATAAAGTTCTTTTTATATACCACCAACCACTTCCGAATGACCAGAAAGACCGACTAACATCAGAAACTTGAGCTGGGCACAAATGAGTTAGCCTTTTTTTCTTTTCCACTTTTCTCACAGGAATGCCTTTTGAAATAATCTCCTTTCTTGTTAATTTAACGATTACCATCAGAGAGAGCCAGCGGCAGAAAAAATATAGGCAGTAATTATGATCTTGCAGGCTCACTGTGGGACTAGATGTATGGGAAACAATGGATTGTGAGAATGGGTCGGTGCTCCCTTACAGATGCACTTCCCTGCATGGAGCCCTGAGATTTTGGGTGCTTCAGGCCTTGGGGGCCCAGCTCAAGAGACCTTCAAGAAGAATACATACTGTCAGATGGCAGACACACCTTCGGCTGGGTACCCCTGAAAAATACGGCCATCTGAAATCCTTAATATTCACTCGTGAAGAGTTGGGTGCTTTTCTTCCTGAGAAATGAGGGATACAGCCTATTCCTCCTCCATGGCTGGATGTGGTAGATGGACCAGTTGATTTCATCCAATACTATATCAAATGATAAATATTTATCATGATTCTGTATTAATATGTGTGAAGGCAAATACATATTTATGGCACTGCAGAGGCAGAAAGAATGCAGAGCAAAGCCAGCTGGATATTACAGCCTTTAGGAATCAGCTGCTGAATAAAGCCCAGCTTTTACGGATTTGCCCATTGCCCATGGCCTTTGGAGCCATTTCATCCCTCAGGGAAGAGGGATTCCCCAGCGCTTCTGAGGGAAGTCGCATAAGCCCCAAAATACCCAAGCAGGACTCGAATCGTGAGGATAAGGGAAATGAACGACGGTAAAACTCCGGCGTTCCACAGGGAAAGGGTTCATCCTTGAGGGTCGCTTGCAGGCGCTGCCACGGGCCGAGGCCACCAGCCGCCAGCCCTCGCAGTCCCCCGGGTGCACCAACGTCGAGGCCCCAGGACCGTTCGCCTTAGCCCCGGCGGGCAGAAGGGGGCAGCGGCCGTGCCGTGCCGTTCCGTTCCGGGGCCTGCGGCGGTGCAGCGCTGCCTCCGCGGCGAGGAGGCGCCGTCGGTCCCGCGGTGCGGAGGAGGTGCTGCCGGCCGGCCTCACTGGCTGGAGGCCGCGCTCCCCGCTCCCTGGGGCGCGGGCACGACGGGGCTCATCACTGTTAATGCCCACGGCCCCACCGCCGGGGTAGCGGGGGGCGGGCGGGCGGTGGCGCGGAGCACGGCCCGGGCAGGACGGGGCGGTCGGGTCCCGCTCTCCGCCGCCGCCAGCCCCCCCGCTGTCCCCGCGTCCCTCCCCCGCGGCGAAGTTTAGCCGGAGCGGCCGCCCGTGTCCCCCGGCGCTGCCCGCGCGTGCGGGGCGCCTCTGCCGCTGCCAGGGCCGGGACAAAAGGCACACGGACACGTGATGGGAGACGGGCTTCATAAATGGGACCGGAGCGGGGCGGAAGGCGGGGGGGGACGCGGCGGCGGCGTGTGCCGGAGCCGCGCCGGGCGCCCCGTGGCTCCCGCGCTGCCTCCCCGCGCCAAGGCGGCGGCGGGCGGAGGCGGCGGAGGAGGGCCGGGGGCGGCGGCCTGGGGGGGCGGGCAGCAGGCACATGGAGCGGCAGGGCGGCGGAGCACGGCACGCTGCCTGAGCAGGGCTAGCGAGGGCGGCGGTGGTCGGAGAGAAGGCGCGGAGGGGAGGCAAGGGAAGAAGGGGAGGCAGCCGCGGCGAGAAGTCTCCCACCTCCTCCTTCCCCTCGCCGGCACCGCCTCCTCGGCGCTCCCCAGTGCCGGGGTGCCCGGGCGGGGCGGCGCTCCCGCTCCCTGCCGGGGGTCGGCGCGGCCGGAGCAGGCGGGGGACGCGGCCGGTGCCGTGCGGAGGGTAAGGACGGAGCGGGACCGGGGGGAACAGGGGGGAGCGGGCGGCGGGTGCCCACCGTCCGGGGGCCAGGTAGCCGTCGTCCCCCTCGAAGTTTGTTGGCGGTGTGGGTAGGGGGGTGCCGGCGGTGACACCGCCCGCCCCGACGGCCGGAGAGCCGGAGGAGAGGCGTCTGCCTGCGAGCGCATCCCTCCCGGGAGCCGCCGCCTCTCGCCGTGCGGAGGGGCCGGGGGAACGCGGCTCTCAGCTGTGCCCCGGGCATGGCCCCGGGCAGCTGGGGAGAGTTGGCGGGTGCCTCGGGGCCGCTCGGGAGAAGCCGGTGGCCCGAAGTGCGCTGTTCGCGTTCGCGATCCCGGGCGGAGGACGGGGGGACCCCGCTGCCCCTCGAGGGGAGCCCGCGGTGGGCGGGGGGCGAGTGCCGCCGTGGTTAACGCGCGTCTGTTCTTCTGTGTGCGGGGCCGGCGGCCTCCCAGGTTCCCACAGGACCTCATCTGACATCGGGAGTTTCTCCTGTCGTCCTCACCCACCGGTGATGTACAGCGGGTGGCATTCACCCCGGTTTTCCTGTGCACTTCTCCTCCCAAAACTCTGCCGTGGAGGCTGGAACCGAAATAAAAGGCGGTTCGTGATTTTTGTGCGCAGTGATGTTCTGTTAGAAGATGTCACTTCAGGCACCCGGCATCTTCAGAATACCCCAGTAGGGTTTCTGGTTGGTTGGCTGGGTTTGTGGTGGTTTGTTTTTTTTTTGTCTGAAATTCGGAGGTCGGGGGTGGGGGGAAACAGGCGAAAAAGAGTGAGCTTTTAAAACTTCACTCAGTGTTTGTCATGCGAAATCTTCAGCTGTTGCGAAATAATTAAGAGTAACCAGATGGGCTTATTTTAAATGGGCATCTTTTTGTCTCAAAGACGTCTGCAAACCTCCACTGAGAACACCCCTGGATGAGGTACGTACCAAGCCTTTGGTAGGAGAGAGCTCTTTACTGTGTTTTCAGTCTGATTAAGTAAAATGGTGTCAGAAGATGAAGTCCATAGTTTTCTTCTTTCTCTAAAATTACCATCAGTGTTATTTTCTGTATGGCAGCAACTCATCATATGAACAGTTTTGTTTGTTATGTTTTCTTCTTTCAGAAAATAAAGGGGCATATATAACATAAAGCCAGATATCAAAATACTCCTACTTGAGTATCTACAAGTTTGGCTGTTTTTAAAATTACCCATAGTGTGGCTTTTTTTACCTGTTAAAGATGTAGTAATGTTTTTTTTATGTTTTTTTTTTCCCTTAGATATATCATCTTGTTTTCATTGTTATTGTTCACCTTTTCTTAAAGGAACATAGCATTTGCTGCTGGGGTGGCATTGCAGTTCATATGTACCAAAAATCATGCAAAGGATCAGAGGTTGATATTTAGTATGATATTTTGTAACAATATGTGCAACATTGCAAAAATTACTTGGGTGTGCTTAATGCTCTCGAATTACACCTCATACAAGCTGCCAGCACAGGTTTTCCCTTCTCAAGAAAGGAAGAAAAACGTGTGACTATAGTAGGAATATTTATTATGCAGGCAGAGTTTATTAAATCAGCCGTAAAATAAATGAACGCAACATCTTTAACAGTTTAGAAGATGAATGTGTAATTCCTGATTTGCTTGAGGTTAAAATTAGTTTTGTAGCAACGAGGAACAGCTTTGCTTTATTATCTGTTGGTCTTTGGAATGAGAGGCAGAACCATTTGAATAAAAACATTTTAAAGCAGAATTGATAAAAGCAATTATTCTCTGACTGAGCCAGCAGGCATCTATTGCCAGGAGGAAAAAAAAGGAAAAGTTGGCTACGCAGAGAAATCAGATGTTTGCTGTGAATTTAAATCATTGACCATTTGTAATCCACAGTAATCAAATCAAAATACCTATAAAACTCAAGGTGAAGGTGGAAGCAGGTTATAGTACGGTGAGGATGAGCTGGTGGGCGCCTTTGATCCTGGCTGTTGTTCTTTGGTGAATTATGTTAGCTCAGTGGCATAAAGGACCCCATTAAAGGCTTTCATGCTCTGCTGAAGTAATGGCAGGTCTGAGCCAATGCAAGCCTGCCTTTTCCTCTCTCCCTTCACAGGTTTCTGATTGGGCAGTGGAAGTTTAGAAATTAAATAACTTTTTTTTTAGTGATTTCTGACTTTCAGACCTTAGTGTGGCCATTCCAAAATGCTTGGAGACTGTTATCCCATTGGGAGTTTTGGTGATGAAGGTGTTATGTGCTCAAGTGAGAGCTGGGATGGCTTTCATTTATACCGAGTAGAGGTAAGTGAGGAAGTTAAGAGGCAAGGGAGAGCCCAAACCCAGATATTCATTTAGTATTGCCCAAGACTTTTACCAATACATTGCCAGTCATGGTTCTGTAGGTCTTGTCCACTATCTTCCACTCACCTAGTTTCTCCGCTTCTGCATGTTCTAAGAAAAAATACTGTAACTTCTCCAACGCAAACTTTGTGACCTCTCTGGTCATGCAGTTGGCTACCTGGGCATCTGCAGAATTCGTTTTTCTCAGTGGCAATTGCTCTTCATTTCTCTGCAGGTGTCTCTGTTGGCTTTATCTGAGCCTCCTGAAATAGTAAATGATTTTAGGTGTGTTTCACAAATATTTTAGAGATGAGTGTTCTACAAAACCACTCATCGACCATTTAAGTGAGAATCTGGAGGGTTTTCTCTTCTCTAATAGCAAATTTGCACACTGTTGATGGTTTAAAATATGTACTGTGGGCGACCCTAACACTGGGATTTGGCCAAGTTCAAAGCAGCTGTGCAGATGGACACAGAAGGCAGAGGGAAATAGACCCTTTTAATCATAACAAGGCTGCTCTTATTTTCCTATCTTTAGTGGAAATGCATGCCAGACCCTTGTACTTAAAAGCAAGCTGCAAATGTGCCAGAATAGACAGCAACGGCATTTGTTATTAATGCAAAGTTGAAAATGTGACAGCCTGTCTTAGTAGTGCTCTTTATGTCTCCATATCTAGGCTGTAGTGCTGCAAAAAGTGCACATCCGATCACTGATGGTGGGATGAGAATCCCCCCCTCCCCAGAACTCAGGCTCTTTGAAAGTGCATGGCTCTGTTAATGATCGCTGAAACCAGCCACAACCTGTCCTTTTGAAATGGTTATAATGACTTATAAATCAATTTCTCGTTAGAAAGAACTTCTTTTTTTTTTTTTCCTTTTTCCCGAAGGTGCCATTGTTGCCCATGAAAAATGATTGGGTTTGCAACATAAGGTTGGAGCACATTTTATTCTGCCATTTGTGCCTCATGCAGGGGCATTATGGTGATGAACACACCAAGCCCAGTTCTGCCTCTCTGCAGCAGAAACATCCTTTTTTCATAAAGCTACCCACATCCAAATTACAGATAAAATAGGTACTTCACTATTCTGTGTTAGTATAATGTCACTCCTCATACTTTGGCCGAACTGTTTGTGAAACTGGATGTTTTAACACCTTTCAGATGTTGTCTTGTTTGTGTAGATTGAGGCTAGATGGCATCAAATAATACCTCAATCCTGTGTTAACCTGTTTTATGGCAGTTGTATATTCTCAGGAAAGGTGTGTTAACTCGCTACAAAGTACTGAGCAGGAGCAGTTTCACAAGGGACGCTGTTAGTTCCCTTTCAGCCCTTGGAGGAGTCATTTTCATCTTAATGAATTTTAGGAAACCTCTTAAAGTTTGTGCTTAGGGGCTTGGGGAGCTCCCACGTTCCCATTGTGGTGATTACATTGAAACGTGCTCTTGGAAGTCACTGGGTTTAGCTAGTTCTGCCTCTGTTTTAAGCAATGCGGTTCTGGATTCCAAACTATGCATGTACCTGGAAAATTAGGTGGCATAGGTTTGGAGTGTGTATGTAAGTACCTATATGTATGTATACATGCAAAGTCTTTTTTACAGGTTCTCAGTGATGTACTCAGTTTAGAGTCTTGCTTTTCCCCAGGAACGCTGTGTATACAGGAATTAAAGAAGATACTCAGTGGTCATCTTGCCCATATTGTTTGTACTTACACTTCTAGCTAATTTGCTTGTCCCCTGGCACTGGGAATTTGAATTTATGCATGACAAACTCTACTGCAGCGTTCGTGAGATTTTACTTGTTCCTCTAGGCATGTGTATGGGTTTGTGTATGTCTGTAAGCTTATGCATAGAAAAGATACGCATGCACTCACATAAAAAGTCATAACTCATTGCTCAGTATCTTTTAACTGTTTTTCTAAATCTGGTGTAATACTGGTTTGAGTGTCTGCCATTTGTTGCTCTGGCTACTCACATATCAGATTCTGCTGTAATTCTTTCTCACTTCTCCTCTTCTCTCCCTCTTTCCTTTTATTTTGTAAAAAAAAAGGAGAAGTATCTGCATATTTCGAAGACATGCACCATTGCCAAGCAATCTGGCGTAGTGGCTTAATATGCTGGCAAATAATTTCACAAGTTGTTTGTGTGTGTGAAGGCAGTATATTTGAATATCATTATAATCTCTGAGCTTATTTAAATTTTATGAAAGGCCAGACAGCTCCAGAAATGAAAAAATGTTTTACATTTTTTAATTGGAATGCATATTTTCGTCCTTCGCTAATGCTGATGGCATGGGACATTGCATTCGCCAAAAGCCTTCCTATTCTAGCTTATGAGCATGGCCAGTACTTGGTGGCCTGATAATGATTTTCAGGATAAGTAGCCTCATGAGGACTGAGGTAGAAGGGATGTTGCTTTGCAGTGTGTTGCTGACCTTCTGTGCACTAACTTTCTGTCATTGCCTGTAAGCACCCTTTTCAGTTCTGGTGTGTTTACCTGCCGTATGGATCACTGGCTCTATTTGAGCATTCTTTCTTCCTTTCCACTTCTGAGGTCCGTATCCTACTTTTGTGCTTAAGCAGTTTCATTTTTATTAATGTCCCTGGCCAGATTTGCTCAGCTGATCTCACCTGAGTGTCCCCAGCTTGGTCCTATGTGTCAGCATGCACATCATCGTCCTTTCCTCTGACCTTACTGAGGATGGCTTCTCTGAGCCCTTTGCATTTTCCTTCACCGTTTGAGTAAGATCAGAAATGGACTTTCAAAAGAGCACACTGGTGCCTGCAGAGCAGTGGGTCTATTCTCTCTTTATGGTGAGATCTGAAAATCCCACTAGCTATATCCTTCAGATTACAGAGCTGTCTCTGAAGTTTGCTTAGCTTGGAAGAGGAGGGAGGTTTTTCTCCTGCGAGTTTTCTCCTTCACCTGATCTGCTTTCCCCAAGCTGATCACACAGGCAGTTCTCTGTCCTTAAAATCTGCATCTCTACCTCCAAGGGGCTCCTTCTACTTGTGTCTCCCTCTCTTTCCTTGTTTGCTCCCATCTCACCTGGGGATGTCCTGTGCCCTGTATAAGGACAGTAATTATTTCTCCTGCCAGTCCCCATCACACCAGTGACTTAACCAGCATTACCTTTGCTCTTAGCAGCTCCTTGTTACCTCAGAAAGTCTTGGATTAAAACTTGTTATGACCACAGTTTATTGCAGAGGTTAGGATGAGGCAGACAGCACACTCTGTGCAGTGTATGAGTGTTCTCCCTGGAGCCTAATGGTTTTGCTACCTTTCTGCCTCCAATCCTGACTCTTAAAAAGTTCACTAATATTTTCTGCTGCACCAAATTCTTGATCTTTTCTGTTCTTCTCTGGTCATTACATGGAATCTGTTTTCTCTGTATATGTTTTTTTTTCCTAATAAATGTGGTTTTTTTCCCCATTTCCATCCTCTAGACGATATATTCTTCTGGGGACCTTTAGCATTTGGCATCCAGTGGAGCCTGGGTCTTTCATGTTCTGCTCTGTTCTTTCAAATGACTTCTCTCCCTTCAACTACACGTTGTGTGTTAAGCTGCTGTCTGTTCTAGGTACTTCCAGGAGACTGAGTGTTCAGCCCCCATCTCTTTTGCACCCAGCTGGGCTTCTCTGTTTCCATTTAGCATTTATGTCAGTTCTGCTCAGCAGTAATAAGTGCTTGCACCTTTTGACATTAGAGAATGTCTAGAAAAGAGGCTGGAAATGAAGCACTTTCTGTTGGAATATTGAAATCCAAGATAAATCCTTTTTTACTTTTGTGAAAAAGTTTGAGAGTTAAAAGTTTAATGAGTTCTCTTCATTTTCCTTTAAAATGTAAATACCAAAGCATTGAATAAAACTTTTCATACTACCTGCTTACTCAGCTTTATTGGAAAATAGGTCCCTAAACTGGAGCTGATTTTAAGCAAATACAAGCTCACTCTTGCTTTCATGTGAGCCTTTCATACTTAAGCAAGCCTCTTCATTCTCTCTTCAAAGTCTGTCTTTACTTTGTATGTCTTAATTTCATCTAATCTGTGAAAGACCTTAAAATCCCACATTTTAAGATAGCCACCTCCGCTTTCTCTCTCACAAAAGCCAGGCAGACCAGGTAGCTGTAGTTTCCCATTAACGTGACCCTGACACTCCCCTTGCTGATTTGTGACTCCAGTACTTCCTCTTGTCTCCGACTTGGTAGGAAATGTGTGCGTAGGAGCTTGTATTTCACAAGCTGAGGGCTTTTGAGTGAACTCGGGAGCTTTGGGGGTTATTCAGAGGCAGCTGGGGCAGCTGTGGCAGCTGTCCCTGCTTTTGCCCCTGCGGTTGGGTGGCTTGTGAGAGACACATCCTTCATTGGCTTGATTCAGAGACAGGGCTTCAGACTAAGCCTCTCACTTGCTAGATGTGCACCCTGCTTGCTGGAGTATCAGTTAGTGCCTTTATTTCTGGATGGTTAACTCCTGATCTGACGTGGGACAGCTCGAGCAATTTAGAGACAGGAAGCAGAATGGAGCGGCTGCCAGAATGCTCGCCTGGCTCACGGGAGAGCAAAGTTTGGGTCCTTCACCTGTGCCAAACAGAGGAGGAATTCAACCTCACCTTTGAACCTCTCTGGTGTTAAACACACATGTGTGCCCTGCCTGTACAGGAGGTAAGGCACAGCCCCTTTTGACCTGTGCCTGCAAGTCACCTGTGCTAAAACTGGTGCACACATCCACTTCACCAACAAACCTTTGGTGGGAGGAAATAATGATACTGCTTTTAAAAAACATTTGCTGGCCACTGGTTAACTCTTAGTTCTGTTTTTGTCATCCAGATTGTCAGCTGATGGATGCTGGGGGTTGTCACACAGGGGCAGTTTTGTCCCCAGTTTAGAACCGTCCAGCCCCTATCCTGCTAGTGTGCAAATGGTATGTTAATTAACATAAATAACTGTGTAGCTGTGGTTTATTGATAATTAGAGTTCAACTTCCCAAAGATACCATCATGATGCATAAGAACAGCATTTGGGTCAGTACTTGCATGCCCTAGTTTACCCCACAGCTGGTAGCGCCTTGTAACTCGAAGATAGCACCCGTCATTTGCTTCTTTCCTAGTGTCTGTGCTCCTTCCCAATCCCTCACACAGGGAAAATTCCCACTGAAGTAAATGCAGATTTTCCTGATTTAGGAGTAAACAGCATATTTGCCAATTACAGCCTAGCAGTACCACAGTGTTTGAGATGGAACAGTAAACCAGCAGTAAATAGGATAGGGGTAACATTGCTTTCACATCATTGTCAACACATGTTTTTTCCTTGCTTGGTGTCACTGAGTCTGAAAGTGCCATTTCTCAGACTGTGCGTTTCTTTAGGCTTAGAAACCTTGTTCTGTCCTCGAAGCAGTATGGTTCATCGCCATATGGGATAAGGTAATTATTAGCCAAATAAATTTTCATTTTATAGGACAGTTCTAATTCCTGGAGGCCAACAGTTATTATGGTAGCTCTCATTTCTCTCAAGCTTTTTCAGCTGGCTACACACGAGTATAAATTACTGCCGTTTCTCCCATGGTAGTGCTTTGTGGACCCAGTTTAGTAGAAGTCCCAGTGTACTGGGCAACACACAAACTTATCAGAAGCCCTTCTCTGAAGGACTTACAAACCTTATAATGTGTAAGCAAGGAGAAAGCATTTACGTATTTTTGTGCATTCAGAAACTTTCAATTATACTTACTTGTCCTTTAGCCTGCTCTTAATTAGCTGTGGGTATCACAGAAGAAATGTATAGGCATGGAGATCAAAATATTTTCTGAAAGAGAAGCTGGAAAGGTTTGATTGTGCATTTCCCTTCCTTGTTTTGATTCCTTTTCTTGCCACATAAACAGTTTTGCAGTTATCAGTAGCATCATTGTGTTGCTCATAATTACTTTCTGAGGAAGAACACAAATATTCACTGTTTCTATTCAGGCTATTAAAATTGCTCTATCAATCATCCTGGGTTGAAAATTATAATAAAGTCAGGCCTTTTTTTAGACAACGATAAAAACGTTCCAGCCTTCTCTCTCCCCCAGAACAGAAGGAGAAGATAGGTAATAGCATTTTAATGAAGTCACGTTCTTGTTCCCTGAGTGAACTGGTCCTGTGGACCAACAAGAAGTCCAGGGGAGGTACGTTTCTCCCCTCAGATGAGTTACCAGCCTTTTATGAATTACATATGTTATATTTTACCTAAGGGGTCTTTATATTCTAGTAGCATTTGAGCTTCTTTTAAGGCTCTATGTAACCACACGGTGGAGAGCAGCAGTAAGACTTACCCATCAACTCGTCACTAATTGTTTCACTTTGAGAGCAGTCCCTTACAAAGGCGTGTTTTCGGATGATGTTTAACACCTCGTATGCTTGAACCCCGATAAAGCAGGCTGGGGAAAAAAGGGCAAGAGGAAATTAAATCCAGGTCTCTGCAGGCAGTTAAGCAGTGTGCTTGTAAAAGCCACTCCATCTAGTGGCAGTCACTTTGCACAGCTGGTCGGGCAGTGCCCATCAACCCATTGATGAGAGAAAAATCTAAACATTCCGCTGTGTGTTTTCTGGTTTTGGTCTTCAGGATAAAAGATGGTTGAAATTTTTACCTATTGTTTAACCCTTATCCATAGTCATAATTCATTACTTGCTGTGCATTGCTGCATGCATTCATGGAAATGCATCAGAAATTTTGCGTGCCAGCATTAGCATGGGCTCTTCCACATCTTTAATCAATGTTTCCGTTCTTTTTAACTGTTTTCAAATGAGTGAGGTAATAGAGCTCATTTAAGGAAGGGACAAAGCTGAGAGCTTGGAGACTCAAAGGCTCTGTTGGAGGAGTGGATTCCGACAGGACAGGGGGGCTTTTCATTTGCAGAGCAAAGAGTATCTCCCTCACTGTCGCCCTGTCCATGAAGGGACCTTGCTGGGGCACGTGGCCATTGCCCCAGTCCCATCCAGAGAAGAGGGGTCTTCTACAGAAGCTGTGAGAAGGCACAGAGGCTTACGGTGTATTTAATGTAGAGATGGTCGTGAGTCTTGGGCAGTATGGGTTTGGTCTGCATTGAAGCCAGCTGCAAAGAGCAGTGTGGCCATGTGTTGTGGGGTGTCCCGTTTCCTTGGTCAGTGCCTGCTCGCCACTCCAGGTTCCAACAGAAGAGCTCAGAGCCAAAACTTGTGTGGCACTGGCATGTGCACCTGATCAAACAAAGTGACCAAGAAGCAAACCACTGCTTCTGCTGCTGGCTCTTCAGTCAATGTCAGATTGTGCAACACCTGAGACTGGGACCCTCCTGATAAGTGCAGTGCCAAAGGTCTTGGTTTTATTAGACAGTCATGGAAAACTTTGCTGATTGCTTCAGTGTCCACAAAGTTTCAGTATTGTAGCTTATACTGGGACAAGCTACTATCTAAATTAAAATAAACCAAATTCCAGTAAAGTGCAGTTCCAGATCAGGCAAATGGCTGTTTTACTGCAACTTTAATAAAAAACAACTGCTACTTGAATAGGTGCATGCACACATATTGCTAGATATTTCCAATTATGATATTCCCAGCAGCAAACAAAAACAAAATTAATGTCGTCTGCATCCCCCAAAGCCTAAGCTACGCCACTAATGAACTCCCAAGTACTCTCAAAGAAAACTCTCTTTGCAGAGACAATAAGGTGGAAATTACTGTAATAATCTCAATGTAAAAATACAGAGGGAAAAAAAAAATCATTGACATTCAGAGTAAGGCTTGCCTCTCCTGATCCCATTAACCATGTTGTTAGCACAGCATATGCATGCATAGTGATATTGTCACATAACTCACTGCCACCTTCAGAAGAGCACACAGGAATTCGTGTTCTTTCATTTGTATTTCAAACAAAGGTAGGGGTTGCACGGCAGCTTGCACCTTATTCTGAGGAAGTCTGTACTTAACATGACTCCAGCAGGGACCAGCTACTTCAGAACAATTTGTTTGTCTGTCTAGCAGAGGTGCGCAGTTGCATACAATTTTTGAAGCTTTACTCAAACATAATCTTCTCGACATGGGGTTGTGTCTTGAATCATTAAAATGGTTGTCTGTCTTCTGTCAGGAGTAGGCTGGAGTAACAGAGTGCGACAGCCATCTTTACGTGTTTATAGGACTACTTGATCTATTTAATAACTTTTTTGATTGTTTTCAAATGAGTAACACATTTTTCACTTCTGATTCTGAACTGGTGTTAATAATGCCAAGCTTAAAGTTGCCAGACTTCACCCAAAGCAGATTTGTCAGTTGTCAGCAGGGTCATTTTTGCAACACTTAACACCTGCAAATTCTACTAGGAACAGATGTGAAGTACCTTCTGGAAGAAGAGTACCTCGCATATTAGATGATGGCTGTTCATTTTTAATGTGTGCTTCAGTGACATTTCCCTCCCTCACCGCGCACACTCTCAGAATTAAATTTCTTAATATTGTCTGTCTAATAATGAAGTTGTTATTTGCTGAGCAAATTGTGTCAGCAAAAGCTGACGCAACCGGTATGTGTTGTGTGTTGGACCATCCTGGTAAGGTTTGTTTGTACTCATCCTTGTTTGCAGCACTGCAGTTGCATTATCTTCTGGAGATCTAGGTTAATTATCTTCCTTTTAACACTTGAATGTCCAGGCCTGCTGAATCAAACGCAAAACTTTAAAGTACTGTGGAAGAAGTCTCAAGTGTTCAGATGCTACATGTAAGGGCCGTAGAAATATTTCAGCAGCCAAATGATCTCTGCTTCTTTTGGAAATGCTCATTATTTCATTTGTTTTTAAGTACTGGTATTGTTGTAGAGAGGAACCCTTTTCTTCTTTCTTTTATTTTTCATGGGAAAATTCAGCTGAGGTACCTATTGTGCACGTCCCATCTTAGGAGTTGAGGTGATCAATACACCGGGGGTTGGCAAATAATCATGGCCTTTCTGGCCGGTTATTGTCAGTTGTGTAAAGTGAACAGGTTAAGTCGGTACAAGCCTATATATAGCATCTGGGATTTCTTGAGTGTCACAATTTCCTCCATTCTCAAAACACGAGGAAGCTTGGGTTTGCTCGTGTTGCTGGTGCGATCATCAGGATGTCTCGTAGCAGATGCAGAATAGCTGTAGCACACTGAAGCAATGATTCTGGCTCTTATTTACATTCAGACCACTCTCAGCCACTCTGGCAGTGGAAGGGGGCCCCAAAGCAGATGTTCGATGCATATTCAAGGCAAGTTACATGGGCAAAGTTATATAAAGGAGCACAGCATAAGAACAGCTGTAAGGCCTGTCTTACATATTGATGCATGTAAGATGCTCAGATGCTGATTAGAATGTTATCCCAAGGTTACACTGTGCAATTAACCATCATCCATGAGCAAAGGTTGGGTATGATGGGACTTAGAGACCACTGGCTACCAGGGGACCTGCTGCTTGGGTCCCTGTTTCTGAGGGGACAGAATGTTTTTGAGGGTGTCCTCAGTGGGATGAATTACATTTCCTGGCTTCTCAGAGGAGCAGCAGCTCCTGGTCCCTTTTGCCTGGAGTTTTGGCCAGAGCTGCACTCTGCCCCAAACTTAGTGCTGTGTTTGCCCCAGTTGAAGCTTTTGATCTATGCAGAATGGATCAGAGTGACGCACTCACTGACCTAGCAGTGCTTGTCACCTTTTCTGAAACTGGACAGGGCTGGTTAACAACCCACTTCCCCCTTGCAGCCCAAATATCCCAATAGCCTTGGTTTGCTTAGCAGAAGAAAGGAACAGAGTAATAAAGCCTGTATTTGTATATCAGGTACCTTGCTAATAAATTTGCAGTAACAAATTCAGGATGTTAGGAGACCTCAGAGTGCTGTGGCAGGGTAATGTGAATACACAGGCATCCTGGGTGAACTGTGAAACTTACAAGTGCATGGCTCTTTCCTTGCTCGCTTTCTGTTATCAGGTTTTCAAAACCCTTGGTGCCTTTTGAAAGAAAGTAGTGAAGCCTGATGATTCAGTTTAATGCTGCTCCTGCAGTGGCACTTGGTATTGAAATGAAGCGTGCCCGAGGAATATTGGTCTGCAGGGTACTTTGCAATCAGAAGCCAAGTTCAGATCTAGAGAAAAAGATCTTTGTGGTGGAGCAACTCAGAAGGTTTTGATGAGAAATGAAAATTACTTTCCTGTTGAATACTCAATTCCCTGTGCCTCTGTTTTTCATGTCACTTCCTAGAGTAATTCAGTTTTAGTGAAATCCAGGTGATTTCTAAGTGTTCAACTCACCCTGATTCCCGCAGGTGGCAAAGCTAGACTGAATACAAGAGAAAGGTCGATTTTGTTTGACACAGTTCAACTAAGTTGTTTGTGGAGTTTGTCTCCCTGTACATCTTAATGAATTCTGATCTTTTCCCCTTCTAGGATTTCCTCTGATGCATTTTTCCGTGCCACAAGTCTCTCCGAAACCAACAAGACTGGGGTTATGAAGTCAGTCCTAGATGGCCTCGCAGACACAACTTTCCGAACAATCACAACAGATCTCCTTTACGTGGGCTCCAACGATATCCAGTACGAAGACATGAAAGGCGACATGGCATCCAAGCTGGGATACTACCCCCAGAAGTTCCCTCTCTCTTCCTTCAGGGGTGATCCTTTCCAAGAAAAAATGACTGCGGGAGATGATCCCCTGTTGAGCATTATTCCCTCAGATCAGGTCAACATCACCGAGTTTTACAACAAGTCCCTGTCCACGTTTAAGGATAATGAGGAGAACATACAGTGTGGGGAGAACTTTATGGATATGGAGTGCTTTATGATCCTGAACCCCAGCCAGCAGCTGGCCATCGCTGTGCTGTCACTCACCCTGGGCACCTTCACGGTCCTAGAGAACCTCCTTGTCCTATGCGTCATCCTCCACTCTCGAAGCCTCCGGTGTAGACCCTCCTACCATTTCATCGGCAGCCTGGCTGTGGCCGATCTCCTGGGCAGTGTGATTTTTGTCTACAGTTTTGTGGATTTCCATGTTTTCCACCGGAAGGACAGCCCCAACGTCTTCTTGTTCAAACTGGGTGGAGTTACAGCCTCCTTCACTGCGTCCGTAGGTAGTCTTTTCCTCACGGCAATAGACCGGTACATATCTATACACAGGCCACTAGCTTACAAAAGGATTGTTACCCGACCAAAGGCTGTTGTAGCGTTTTGTGTGATGTGGACCATCGCTATTGTAATAGCCGTTCTTCCTCTGCTTGGCTGGAACTGCAAAAAGCTCAATTCTGTTTGTTCAGACATATTCCCTCTCATCGATGAGACGTACCTGATGTTCTGGATCGGGGTCACCAGCGTCCTCTTGCTGTTCATTGTCTATGCCTACATGTACATACTGTGGAAGGCTCACAGCCACGCTGTTCGCATGATTCAGCGGGGCACGCAGAAAAGCATCATCATCCAGTCTACGGAGGATGGTAAGGTACAGATCACGAGGCCTGATCAAACTCGTATGGACATCAGGTTAGCCAAAACCTTGGTCCTTATCCTAGTCGTTTTAATCATATGCTGGGGCCCTCTGCTCGCCATCATGGTGTATGATGTCTTTGGCAAAATGAACAAGCTCATCAAAACTGTCTTTGCCTTCTGTAGCATGCTCTGTTTGCTGAATTCCACAGTGAATCCCATCATCTACGCTCTGAGGAGCAAGGACTTGCGACACGCCTTCCGCAGCATGTTCCCCACCTGCGAAGGAACCGCGCAGCCCCTCGACAACAGCATGGAGTCTGACTGCCAGCACAAACACGCCAACAACGCAGGGAACGTGCATAGGGCTGCCGAGAGCTGCATTAAGAGCACAGTTAAGATTGCCAAAGTTACCATGTCTGTCTCCACAGACACGACTGCTGAAGCATTGTAAGTCAGAGACTTCTCAGCCTTGTGAGAAAAGGAGTTAGTTTAAAAAATAAAGGTTTAAAAATTCAACAACAGAAAAAACCAAACCTGTGGCTTATAGTGTTTGTACCCTCCTGTAATATTTCTTTGGTTTGTCATTGTAAGCTGGGCAATGATTGTGTTAAGAACATTACCATCAGCCAGTTCTTCAGGTTTTGCAATTAGGAATTCAAGCTAGATTTTCATAAGTGTTTTTCTCAGAACGTGTTTACTGAATGATAGGATGTTTCCTGAAAGAACACAGAGAAAATACCAGGTTAGCAGCGGTTCCTTTGGGGGTGTGAAGAAAAATGGTGAAACCTAATTGAAAACTAATGCATCCTAAACCAATGCCATCAAGTAAGAGAAAAAGCTGTGTAATCATGCTGTTCATTTCAATGTGAAGTGTATTTCATGTCTGTAAGTAATAGGAGGTTTTGATTTTTTCCAAAAGCAGCAGTGTTGAGTTTTAGAGGTTTTGTAAAACGTGTCGTGTCCTGTGAATCGTGTGCTGTTTTATTCTGTGTTATCGATATTTGTCTGATAAACAAAGTGATAAGGTAGACTCCGTGGAAATAATGTGAAACGTGATATGTAAACCCCATTGAAAATACTTACTGTATTTGAAGAATTCCTATGAGCTATTTTGGAAATTTTACACTTTAGTGGTCTTCTATGGACTTAGAGGAGAGGGTTTGTGTTCTTCTACTAAATTGTTTCCTCACTACCTTTTACTTTCACACGCATATGAGAGTAACAGCAACAAAGGAATAGAGGAGGAATGTAAGAAAGGAATGCACTGGTTCAGACTTGTAAATACCACTGCATTTATACAGAAGGACGTTTATGGTTGTACAGACTATTGCCCTGCTCTTGGGCATTGCGTGAATATGAACACTGAGAAGTGAAGGTCCTGGATATTGGCTCCCTTAACATGCAACTGGTTTTTAGCCACATGCTGGTGCTGGACCACTGAAGACAGCATGTGTCAGACTCAATGTGCGATGTTATCACTGTGCAGTCGATGTATACTTGAATTGTGTCTCATTCCTGTATCCCAGGTTTAAGCAGATGCAGAGCCTGAGATGCCAAACTCCCGTCTTCACTAAAAGAGGAGGAAATACTGTCAGACATTTTCTTATTGTGTGAGCGTGTATATAAATAAATATCTGTGTGTGTACGTGTGTGTGCGTGCGTGTGCGTGTAAGTACACTAATCAGTGTAAGTCATGGTAGCACAACTAAGATAGGACACTGACCAAATGTAAACTGTATTTCTTGTTGCACGCTTTGCACATGAATTCTGTTTCTAAAATTGAGTTCTTCCAACTGATTACTGATGAAAGTACCATATTAAGAACATCTTGATCCACTCTGAAAGGTGTATCCATGTGCTAGAGGAAGCGATCTTTCAGTTGTATTTGGGAATAAGGGGAAACAAGAGGCAGAGCATGGCATGAGCCCGTGCTAACAACTGCAGTGGCTGTAGATGGTGTTTCTGAAAACTGAAAAAGCCAGAAATAAATGATAATCACTTTTAAGGCCATCAGATTGCTCAAAATGATGTGAGTCTCACTGTGAAACTAGGATACAGATGACAAGGTTTGACACTATAGCTTTGAGGAAGAAGTTAGTGAAGGAAAATCATGACTCTTAGTAGCAGGATTGTTTTCTGCAGCATGGGGCTTTCACGAAGAGCAGGTAACCGGATAGTCTCCTGATAGTCTTTGAGGCATGAATATTCTGTGGTTCTGTCATGAATCAGAAGGTCTGGGGTCCTCCTCTCTGCTGCCTTTTTTTTGCCATTTCCTTGCCCTTCTGGCTGATTTCTGCAAAATAGCTGCAAAAGAGGCTTAGCTTGTTGGCTGCCTGATGCTTGCTGCAAGAGGGTGGCTCCCACCATGGCACTGGGTAAGAGGAGCCAAATCCATGCTGCCAGGCCATCTGTCCTCAGGGTTACATAGGGAGAGAGAGGGGGATGGCACCCCTGGGTCTCTGGCCTCGGTGGTGTCCCCATGATGTTTCTGATACTTCAGGACAGAGCAGCAGGTAGCATGGGCAGCCCAGCTGATGTCAGTCAGTGGCTCTGTGGAGATGTTAAAGTGCCTCCAAGTTCAGGCTTGGTGAGGGCTGGCACACTTCAAAGATCTCATCAGGCAAGGTGGAAGACACAGAGGTACTTTCCTTCTCTACTCACCTCCCCTGCAGCTTACCCCGGTGGTAGGACAAGGCACCATGCTCTCAGTGGGCTTTGGCAGTCAGACAAAACTGGCAGATTGCAGAGGATTCCTAGAGGATGTGCAAGTCCTCCTCCTGAAAGATCTTTCTTATATCTAGGTCTAGTCCATCCTAAAGCAGTCCTGTTGGAGGAGGGTGGGGGGAGACTTATTTGAAATGTAAAGGTATTTTAAGAGCCATTTTTGAAACTGTCTTCTTGTGAATTAAATGCAAACTTAGTGGATTTTTGTTGTGCATTCGAGTTCTAAATTTTACATGATCAATCATGGGACAATGGGGCTGTCTTGGCACTTAACTTGGTGCTTACTGATATAATAAGAAATAGCATCCTGTGAAATGTTACCATCTATCAGCAGTATCTTCGTTTGCATAATGAGTTTTTTTAAAGCTCTGGGAACTGCATCGGTTCACTTGAAACCATTTATTAAAGAGGTGGCAACAATTTCCCTACATGTTGCATACTAAGTAGAACAACTCTTAAATTAGAAATATTTGCTGCCATTCCAAGATAATCTGTACTTAAACCTCAGCTTTAGGTATTCCTAATTTGCAGTTGCCTACCTTCACTTAGTGATAGCACAGCCAAATGATACTGTGTTCCACAGCCACCCACACCGTCATCATCAGTCAACCAGCGACAGTTGCAGTTACCTATCTGTACCATCCCCAAGCGTCACATATGTACTGAGAAGACCATCTATGTCATATGTGTGCAGAGTTAGATTCTTAACAGTCTAATTGTATATTTGTATAATATTATCTCCTCAACGCTGTGCAATCACTATCCACATCTTCTTGCACTGGCCTTCCGATGAAAATGTTAGTGTGTCTGTTGTGAGATAGACAGCACATTTTACCTGCTGTTATTGGGCTGAATGTATGTAAATAAGCGAAAAATAAAAAAAGTCATCTGTACAAGCAGTGGCCTAAAAAGTCTGTAATTGTAGACTAGGACGGTTGTTGAAGTTGCTGTGACATCTCAAATACTACCTTTGAATAAACTGTTTACAGGGTTTCTTAGGATGCTGTTCATAGTGAAAGGAAACATTTTCCTTGTGATAATATAAAGAAATTGGATTACCTGAGCTTTTTCTTTCCAGTGTTTCAAAGTGGAGAACATAACTCTTTACTGTCTGTAAATCTAACATTATTACTTCCTCTTAGAAGAATATTGTATCATTAGATGTTTGTTTGAGCTGGTAACATCCTTGCGACTGCTGCAATATTTTTCATTAGCAACCTGTATAATAGTTTGTACACAAGTACTGTTCACATTGTCATGAAAAGTAGCTTTGACCATTTACCTACCAGTAGCAGAATAGTATTTCTGTAAGATTTCCAGTGTATTCCTACCATATCATATTTTATTTCTATAATGTAATTAAACTGTTATTTATTCAAGGAGAAAAAGTATTCCTCTACTTTTTTTGTTTTCCAAATTTTGAGATAACTGAGGAAGCCACGTGATGATGCTGCTTCATCCCACAATCTGGTGCTCTACGTTTTGTTTATAAGTTTGTCTGTCAGATTCTGAAACAACTGCTTAAACAACTTGACAACAGGTTGTCAAGCTTTGTGGGTTTTAATTGTACGTTGATATGCTTGAAGGAGGAGGTAGATTATGTACTTTATATTTGTGTATTCAGTACTATGGAGACAAGAGAGAAATTACATAGTTAAAACCAAATCTCCTGTTTCATTATGTAGGCAATTTCCCCTTTCCTCTGTATTAGCCAAAATGCAATAAATCTCTTTTGCCTTCCTCGGATGGATATGTTTGCACAGAGATGTCACATTAAGACAAACCCATATACTTCAGAAAAACAAAACACAAAAGAGCAGGAGAAAGGAATACAGTCTCAAAGAGTGCTGCCAACAGCAACAATGACCTAAATTAGTTACTGGTGGTTGTAAATATAATCAGAGACTTAGAGTTCGTCTAGTTTTGGCCAGTGCCAATGCGGCAGAGTTACGGGTGGGTGAGTGGGGGATGATGGAATGGTCCAACAGACATGCAAACAAGCTGTGCAGGGAGAGCAAGCTCAGCCAGGCCATTGCCTACAGGGCACACTAGAGTGCTCCCACCACTGCTCATTCACAACTGAAAGGAAGGGTTGAAAACAGACTTAAGAGTCTCTCTGGGGTCTCACACGCCCAATCCAAAGCCCATCAAATGCTGTAGAAAGGTCCCTGCTCATTTGAAAGGCTTGGTTTTCTGTATGACTTAATCTCAGATTCATGTTTCTTGGGCAATTTTCCTTCTCCCCATTTGTGATTTGAGAACAGTGGAGATCCTTAGAGGATATACTGAGCATGTCCTGGGGCCTTGGACCATGGTAGTGCCGCAATATTTGCATTATTAAAAATTAGGTCACTGATGAACTGAGAAGTCTTGGCAAAACAAAAGCCACTAGAAATGAAAAATTAGCTTTTAATCTTTAACTGCATATTACATTTAAAAGAAGAACTCTGAATATTTCTGCTGAAAGGTGTCATTCCCAAAGCAGCCAGGAGACAATTCCAACTGTATTTGCATGCTCACTAGAAAATAACAGCTATACTGCCACAAACAGGCGCTTCCTCTTGACGCTAACAGCTGACTGCCTTTGTACATCTATTTGAAACAACACAAGAGGAAATAATAACAACTTTCCAAACTTTCCAAGTAACTGCTTTCCCACACTATAGCAGCTCAGGAAGCATGCGGGCAAATGTACAGTCATCGTTTCAACCTTTTACATTAGCATCCAGTATTTCTGCTCTTCTGACGGTTGTTTAAAGACGTCACAATATCATCATGCAAACACATCATAAAACATCTGTCTTCAGTGGACGTCCAGCTTTGGCTTGATTTAAAAGTTAAATCATAATATTTGGGAACAGATAATGAAAGAAGGGAAAAAGTCATTTTGCCTGTGTTTAAGAAAGCATAGGGTGGGGTTTTTATCTGACAGTTTAGAATACATGTCTTCTTCTAGTCTGCCTTTCTCCATTGGTGTTCGTAGGTAACGGATATAGAGTTTTCTTTAAATAGCAGCATAACATATGAAGTACATGACTGCCATTAACAGGGCTCCGTAATGTGAACAGTCATCTAATACTAATCTGTAAAATTCAGTTAGGGGGGAAAGGGATCATAAACCTAAGGTAATCTTAATGACTAGGTATGGCATATGCATACACTTCTATTGCTTTCCAATAAATCATCTTTGGTATTCAGAGCAGCACTTAGTTTAATGCTAAAGCATATTAAGGTATGGAATCCTGTGTCAGTAAAGTCCCTAAGAAGTTTTTATTGACTTCAGAAGAAATAATACCCTGCCCCAGATTTTCAAACTAAGTCTGCATTTGGAAAGTGCAATTTTATATTCCGTTATATTTGCATTTTTACTGACATTAAAACAAAGATGAGACAGAATAAATAACAGCCTCTCTATTCATTGGTTTGGGTTTGGGTGTTTTGCCTGCAAAATAATCTATTTTGAGTTCTCATGGGTCAATGCAGAATCATAAAGTCTGGCAGGAGTTCAATGGACTTGTCATGGGAGTGAAGCAATTTATTTATCCATATGTGTGCAGATGGGGTACAGAACATCATGAACAAAACTGCTCTCAGTAATGCTGACAGTCATTTCCTGGCCACTTGCACTGATGCTGTTTTGACACTGTTTTGCTTCCTTCTCTCAGTATACATGCACGTATGTGTGTGCATGGTGAAAATGGACAACTCACATATACAAAAATCTTCCCCCAAAATAAAAAAAAATCTATATGTGACAATAGTAATAACAGTAATAATCATAACAGTCATTCTAGTAATAATAATGTGAAACAACCTCACAGCCACTGATTTCATGAAGGGGAAACCTCTTCTACCATTTGTAGCCATACCTGGATGGATCAAGCCCTACCATTGCTATCTGGACCATTTCTTCTTTTTCCC